CCGAATTCCACTCTAGAACTTGCCTTTCGGGATGAGATTCCTAAATAAACATTCTTCTCAGTTTATCAGTCTGTTTCGTTATTTTGGAAGTTCAGGTATTTCAAGAATCTTCGTAGTTGAAGCATAATTCAATCGTGCATTCAGTCATTCAATATAAATACAAGGCATTTGATTTGAAAAAAAAAAAAGACTTTCGAGACGTTCAAAATCCTCCAACTGACAACTTTTTCTGACCATATGGTACAATTTCCAATGTCACTTCGGAGACCATCATGTATACTTGTCTAGTGACAATTTAATTCATGTATGAAAAATCCCATAAGCAGCGAAATAGATATTTACGTAATCAGTTAAGAAGCGCGTTGTTTTGTGTAACAATGGGATTTTGCGGGACGAGCGAAGCGAGATCCCGCAACATCACAGAGTTACACAAAATGGCGTTTCCTAACGTGTCACGTACAATATTTTTTCTAATTTTGACGAAACATTTCGCATGAACAAAAATACCCTTGGAAGTTATTCAAAAACGTATCTTGAGAATCATTTTCAACAAACCACCTCAATATGCTTCCGATATATTATTCAGCAAAACAATCCTATGCTATACTTATAAAAAACCCGTATCAAACCTGATCGAACATCAATACCTTACTAGAAGTAGATTAGCTACAAATGAAATATTACCACGCGCTCAGAAATCGATAGGTCAAAGATATTTTGTATACATTGCACCAAGGCTCAAAAATCTTTTACCTAGTTCATTGAAAATGATAAACTCAAAGAACTTATTCAAGAAAAGAGTGAAAGCTTGGATTTTGTCTTTGAATAGGAAAATCTTGCATAATATCATTGATGCTTGATATATTGAGTATATATATATATATATGGATTAATAAAATGTATTCGTCCATCCGTTTGTACAATGTATAATATTATTGCTGTTATTTTAGTTTTATATATTTCTTCTTTGTATTTAGTATTTCAGTAGATATATAGGTACCAATGGATGTTTACACTTAATTCTAACTTATTGAAGAGTAGCTAAATATAGAATAATACCTACATCACGATTGGGTATGAAATATTGTGACTAAATAGTGATAAATGCCCATAGACAAGCTCCTTGAGAGCTTTTTTGGGTGATACCTCTATTTATTCGATCCCTCTTTGGCAAATGTTCATGTTTTTGTAAATGTAATTATAAATGGGTTGGATAAATAAATTATTATTATTATTATTATTATAATGACCAGTTTTACATGAGTTCTGCCGACTCTTCACAAAATTTAGTAGGCTAGTTGACTTCGCCTGCCACTTTGAAGTATCCGTCAAACAACAATACGGTCACAAACTAGCGACGAAATAGAATCATTTGATGTTTTTATAGGTGAAAAATGTCCGATTCAAGTTCTGATTTACCAAGTGATATTGAGGAAGCAGCACAAAATGCACTATTAACTATATTCTTATTTCGTAACTGGTGTTGAAATGAACATTACATCACCAGTTATGGAAAATTTTACTTTACGCAACTGGTTACGTAAAGTAAGACGTTTCAAAACTTCCGTCAGTTTTGAAAAGTGTCACATTACATGTCAAAATTAGAAACAAAAATTGCCCTAACTTTTGAATGCATGACAACCAGCCACGAACAAATGTTTGATGAATCAAATCGTCTTACCGAATTACGCTCTAGCTTATTTTTTTCGAAGTAAACTTGGCATTTATAATTCGAATTTTGTTGCCATCAGCTAATTCAACACAAGAAACTGCCAGAGGCAGTTTTTTTCGTCAAAATTGCCAGGCAATAATTGTTATTTATTATACAAGGGAAAAAAGTTATAGATTTTAGCTCCAGGTTGTGTTGTTTCCCGACGCGTAGCGGAGGGAGACAAAAAACCGTGAGCTAAAATCTAATATTTTTCCCGTGTATAATTCACAATTTTTTTCTGTGACAGAAGAAAGGACGAATCAATATTGAGAATATATTACATTATTTTGAAATCTGAAAATTATCGACGTGAAATTTTAAGTTTTTAACAGTAGGGACTAGGGGTGGGCGATAATGATTTTGAAATATCGATTATCGATAATCATAATCTATCGATATTATCGATTTATCGATATTATCGATATTATCGATATTATCGATATTATCGATATTATCGATATTATCGATATTATCGATATTATCGATATTATCGATATTATCGATATTATCGATATTTAACGATATTATCGATATTATCGATATTATCGATATTATCGATATTATCGATATTATCGATATTATCAATATTATCGATATTATCGATATTATCGATATTATCGATATTATCGATATTATCGATAATTAACGATATTATCGATATTATCGATATTATCGATATTATCGATATTATCGATATTATCGATATTATCGATATTATCGATATTATCGATATTATCGATATTATCGATATTATCGATATTATCGATAATTTTTCTACAAATTATTATCGATAATTATCGATATATCGATAATTTTTCCCACTTCTAGTCGTGACAAGGGTATTTTTATAAAACTAATTTTTTATATTTACTTTCTGGTTTCTACGTAGGTATAATAAACAAAGCCATTTTGTCATTATGTTATTTTTCAAGGAATGAGCAATCGAATGATGAAATAAAAATATTCCATAAAATTAGATAACCCACCTTACTTGATACTTGTTACTCGTTCAACACATAACTAACTAATAAGTTTGCCACCACAACTAATAAGGGTTGCCACGTTGCCAGATGTCAGATAGCTTCATGCAAGTTGCTGTGCTGGAGTCCTATGTTGTTTGAACAGGGCTGATGTACAGGGTGGCGTATCTTATTATATTCTTCATTCTTACTTCAATTCTTACCAACAAGTAGCTGTTTTATTCAGGGTGTTCCATATAAGAAACAAAAATACCTATTTTTCTGATGCTCATTCATTTTGATAATTTTTATATCATTGGTTATATCGGTAATTCCGATAATTTTGATATCATCGACATTATTGATTATTTCGATAATATCGAAAATATCGATAATATCGATAATATCGATAATATCGATAATATCGATAATATCGATAATATCGATAATATCGATAATATCGAAGATATCGATAATATCGATAATATCGATAATATCGATAATATCGATAATATCGATAATATCGATAATATCGATAATATCGATAATATCGATAATATCGATAATATCGATAATATCGATAATATCGATAATATCGATAAATCGATAATTTTTCTCCAAATTATTATCGATAATTATCGATAATTATCGATAATTATCGATATATCGATAATTTTTCCCACCCCTAGTAGGGACACCTGCGTTGTAGGCACATTTATCATTCTTTTGAATTAATCAAATATCTGAATATCTGAATTAATCAAAGCCATCAACAGTGTATATATATGTGATATATATCCGGGAAAAAAGTACTCACTCTTTTCCCACGGGAAAAAATGTTTTATGAAAAGTTACATTTTATAACCTGCCAACAGAGATGAAATGCCAAACTTTCTTCCCGTCACAGAAAAAAGAATCTTATTGATACATGCCAAAGTTTACTTCGACAAAGAAAAAAAGGTCTCGTTTAATTATAAGTGAAAATTTGATAACATCGAGATGGAAAATTATCAAATTATGAATATAATGCGACGAGTAGACAAAAGTTTCATTGTGAACCAACACTAGGAACAATCTAATCCATATTCCTGTCATTATTCATCTTAAAGTTCGAACAAATGCTAATATTGAAGGAATTCAGTTTGTTTCAATGTCTCATTGTAGTGTGCCTCGTCTTTGAAGAGTGTGGACACGCTTGTCATGTTGTTAAACAACTGAACAGAAAACATGAAACACAAATATGTTTTCTAACGGGAACAGTTATATTATCAGTTTTTCGTTCTGAAATAACTGAAATACCTCACTAGAACTGAACTGATTCAGTTAATATGCAATTTTTCTACGGCTATAACACAAGATTGCTCTTGTTTCACTGTGTTCGATACATCAATGAGGTACTTTGTATGTCATCAATTTTATTTCCGTATCTGATATCGCAATGACTCCATTGTGTTATTATTTCAAGAAAAACTCATCTCCCATGGAATGTCAAATTTCAAGCAATGACAGCTTTGTCTAATAGATGAGCATTACTTGACAGGAAATCAGATGGCTACAAGACGAAGAAATAAAAAATGTCACTGTTATCTATTATAGCCGTAGAAAAATTATAGTGTATAACTTGCACGGAATGCTAATTTCCTACTCGAATGATTGCAGCATTCGCCTATGGCTCATGCTGCAAACTTCATTCTCGTAGGAAATCACTATCATTTCGTCCTCGTTAAACAATACACTGTTGAAAAGGAATATTCTCAGATTAATTATGAACATACAAAAATGGATATATATTTATATAAATCAATACATTGAGAATTCGCATTCTCTATGTGATGGGAGTATCATTATATAAATATATATCCATTTTTGTATGTTCATAATTTATCTGAGAATATTCCTTTTCAACTCTTTCATACCCAATCAGGGGATTCAAACTTGAACGATGGAAACTTGTGATTTTTATAGACCTCTAATCGCAGATTCGTGATAGAATCTCAATTCAGAATTTCTTTCCACGCCCTGTATGATGAATGTCAATTTATCATACATCCAAAAGCAAAAACAATATACTATTTCAGCACATGCTCCACAGTGTAAAGGATTCAATGATTTACGATTTTCATGAGACAAATAAGCCAAAGTTATTGGAAATTACGTCTAGCATATTTTCAAACTTGTCTTTACAGTTGCTTTCGATCATTTATATTGCATTTTTGTAGGTTATAATGAAAACAATTTTTTCCCGACCTAGTCTGGAAAATACGGAGAAGGCCAGAAAAGTGCTATTGTCTCAAATAAAAATTGGTTTCCAAAAAAAAAACAACTTTTTTCTCAAAAATGGTGTATTTAAAAAAATAACAAAATACATTATCATCCAATATCAATATGATAAAATGGAATGTCATCTCTCTTTCACTGGTACCAACTGGTACATTGTCTTTTTTTGTTCGGCATCGTCTACCGCGTAGTCTTCTGTTTTGGAGCAGCAGAAACAAGAGCATAGCGCTGTCACTATGGAAATGCAGCCTAAGCCTACTAGGACGTAGAAGAAGTAGTTCGAATAGACTGGAAGGTTCTGGATTAGCCTAAGACTAACAGCAATTTCGTCGGTGAGCCTCACTGACTGGGTAAAGTAGAATATGGGCACGAATATCCTTGGCACATTTTTATACAACCTGCAAGAAACAAAAAAAAAATCGTCATGATCGATGTTTCAGTTTTTGATATCTTCTCCGTCAGATGACCAGCACTGCAATACCAGGCAAAAATAGTTGAATGGTAGTATAAAATTAGTGCTAAAATTGTCTTAATTGGTATAGGTGATATCCGTTAAAGGCGAGTATTATAGTATGTATCTACAGCTATAATTATTTGAATATCAATTTATTTGACTTCGAAAATTCAGAAACATTCAACAATGAATCGAGAATATTGCTACTAAGTATCTAAAAAATATCAACATGAAATTGAGACAACTTTTCGAAAAAAAAAAATTATTGACAACAGTCAACATTATAATCAACTTCGATAGCTAGGATTCAGAAAGTTATATCTATTACTAGACCCTGGATAAACGTCATTTCCATTGGTAATGAAAAAAACAAATTTGGCAATTTTTTATGTGAATATTTATTTTATCATTATTTGCTCACCTTATATTTGGAATTGGCTGTAGTAGCATATTGAGTTGCATTGTTGCTTGGATATTCATCACAATGGCAGATTTCTGAAACAAAAAAAGGGAATCCAATTATTTTAACCAAATGGAACAATGGGATTTGAAGTTGAGTAAACTGAATCATTTTGGATCGAAAACTTCTTTGGAATAGACATGAGGAGAAAGTAATTAACAAGCCCACGAAAGCTTTGATGATTCGCAGAAATATCACAGGAGAAAGCTATGGATGTACAGGGTATCCCACATAACATGGGCCACCCCCTCATCTGGTAAACTATAATATATACAGAAAAAAGTTCAGCATAAAAGTTGTATTACTCCTTATGAAATTTATTTTTTAGATACTTTCATTTATACAGGATGGTCCATATGTCTGTGACTTATCACACATACGTTTTTTCAAATAGAATACCCTATATTTTATCATATTTTTAGATAGTACTTCAGAAGACGAGTTCAATGATATATAATAACATGGGTCTGAGATCACCCGTTTCGGATTTATACACGATCTTCTTCAATAAATTGCCAAATTTCGAAGCCCTATAGAAACGTTGCGAATGAAGTTTTCGATTCGCAGTTTCCGCTATAAATTAACAAAGTCTGTATATTATTCTGTTGGAAGGTGAAAATTTAGGAATTTTCAATTTGCCAAAAGTGATGACGTATTTTGAAAACCAATAAATATCTCGAGATTTTCGAATGGAACACCCTATATTCCACTCCAAATTTGCATAGAGCTCAGGAAGACGAGTTCAATGATATATCATAACATGTGTCTGATGTCACCCGTATCGGACTTATACACGATCTTCTTCAATAAATTGCCCAATTTCAAAGCCCTATAGAAACGTTGTGAATGAAGTTTTCGATTCGCAGTTCCCGCTATAAATTAACAAATTTTCTATGTTTTCTTGATCCATGGTAGGTTTATGAATTTCGCATTGGCCAAAAGTGATGATGTATTTTGAAAAACGATAATTTTTTACAAATTTTCGAATGAAACACCACCCTATATCATTTCATCTTTGGATGAAGCTCAGAATGACGAGTTCAATGATATATTATAATATGGGTCTGAGATCACCCGTTTCGGACTTATACACGATCTTCTTGAAAAAATAATCAAATTTCAATGGCAAAATCCTGACTGTTATCTTCATATTAGATAAAAATTTTGTAATTTCTGTGAAACAATTCTTAATAAAGAGTTTTGAAAACAACGAATATTATCGAAATTTTTATGTAATATTATACTATTATTTCACTGGAAAACCTTTTGGAAATAATTGAGCACATGTTATCACAATTGAATTTCACCTACATTTGACTGTAAACGAGTCCAATGCGGGAATATTCAATTAATAAAATGTATTTGAACACTTTTTTTGATTGTCTCCTTTTCAATTCGGATGCATTAATTGCAATAAATGTCATTTCTTCATAAAAATCGTATATCTTTCATACTACTTTGTATATTCAATTGAATACTATATCTGATTGTTACTGTTGTTATGTTTACTCGTTTTCTCAGTTACTGTTACTTTTTTGTTTGACTATTCTTTAAAGAAGATCGTGTATAAGTCCGAAACGGGTGATCTCAGACCCATGTTATTATAGATCATTGAACTCGTCTTTCTGAGTTATATGCAAATATGGAATAAAATATAGGGTGTTTCATTTGAAAATCTCGAGATAATTATTGGTTTTCAAAATACGTCATCACTTTTGGCATATTCAAAATTCAAAAATTTTCACCATAGAACAAAATAATATACAAACTTTGTTAATTTATAGCAAAAGTTGCGAATCGAAAACTTCATTCACAACGTTTCTATAGGGCTTTGAAATTAGACAATTTATTGAAGGAGATAATGTATAAATCCGAAACGGGTGATCTCAGACCCATGTTATTATACATCATTGAACTTGTCTTCTGAAGTACTATCTAAAAATATGATAATATATAGGGTGTTCCATTTGAAAAAACGTATTTATGATATGTCACAGACATATGGATCATCCTGTATAAATGACAGTATCTAAAAATTAAATGTCATAAGAAGTTATAAAATTTTTATTCTGAACTTTTTTCTGTATATATAATAGTTTACCAGATAAGGGGGTGGCCCAAGTTATGTGGGATACCCTGTACTTCTAAGACTCCTAGATGGATGCACCCAGCAATGGGGAGAACCTATTATCACAAATTGAGCGGTGGTCTAGAGCATTCTAGGGTAACATAACGAGTCGCGCCACCACAAAAGGTTATTCCACGAAACTTTAGAGATTAGCATGTGTATGCATTATCGGTGCAATGAGAACGAATGGAGGTAATTCTAGACCACACTCCTATACATTTAGCTGCGCAGATGTAGCAAAGAGAACAACAACCTCTCTGTAGGATCAGAACCCTTCTGCGGGATCATCAGCAGTACTGTGTCAGAAAAAATTAGGAAAGCATAAGTTGAACAGATATCAGACATCTGGACAAATCTTCCAGGTCCCAGACAGGCTAAGTGAGGTTAACTATCGGAAATATCGAACGCATGTGTAAGCCTAACCAAGAATAAAATTGGAATACTATCGAAAGCTCCAACAGAGCATTGCCGATTCAAAGGATATCTTAGGAAGCTCAGTTTAGGAAAGGAAAACTAATGCAGGTTCTGTGAGGAGGAGCTACCCTATCAGGAATTCATTTTACAGGAATATGTATGAGGAAGAGCTACGCTCTAGAAGAATACGGTACAGCTTTTCAGGCTGAAGTGATTGCCTTTCTGGTCGTAGCAGAGAGACACAAGATGAAAGAGGGGCCAGAGCAGAAGATTTACATCTGCTCGGATAGTCAGGCGGTACTCAAGGCTATCTGCCATCTCATCAGCTCCGGTTCAGGAATGCTGTGATGCTCTTGAGAAACTAGCTGAACTGAAAGAAGTCGAACTAGTATGGGTTCCAGGTCACAGAGGGGTGCATGGGAACGAGGTGGCAGACGAGCTGCTAAAAATCGGATCCGCGACACCGTTCTGGGGACCAGAGCAAAGTTCATCCGCCTTCATCGAATGGGCGGACAAAGCACTAGGAGGATATTGAAGGCATATAAGCGGCTGCAGGCAATCGAGGAACCTGGTGGCCGGTCCAAACAAGTCAAAGCCGGCGTAGTTACTTAGTAGGGATCGCCAAGTACTGCGCCTTTTTCTAAGGGTACTGACAGGACACAATAGGTTACGCAGACACCTATCATTAATATGTGTAGAAGATAGTCCTACTTGCCGTGTATGTGGAGAATATGAGGATACGTTATTTCACTTCCTCGGAGAGTGTGAGGCGTATGGAAGGATGAGATTCGGAATCTTTGGAATGGACAAACTACAACGGGAGAATTTAGTCGAATTAGAGTGGACGGACAACCTGACCTTCATCATGTAAAATATGAATGTCGCCGCCCATGCTCTCTTTTAAATATGATCAAATATTCTTCAGGAGGCTAGGCAACCCATTTTTCATTAATACAGATTCAAATAGGTCGGATGGATAAGAGGGGATTTCCGGAATGTCTTGCGCTGGTCATTTCACTCTTGAACGGACAGTTTTCTCAACCAAGTGAAGAATTTAAACATCCACGTCGATCGAACCCAAATGTGTTTGTTTTTGGTTTTATATGTGCCCAATGTTCCATTGGAACATCTTGGCCTGCGCCTGCATTTCATATTTAGGTGGGTAAAACTCCTTTATACTACTTTATGATTTTTTGGTCGACCTCTTCAGGTCACATGTTAGTTATACCTACTTTTCTTCACTTATTTGTATAATTGCTTCACCTCTTATATAGGTTTTCGACGTTTCGCTCAACCACGTGATTTTGGTGAACTTTTGAAGCAAATAAATAGTCTCCTGAACCATCAGCGTTTCTATCAGCAAACCCACCAAACCCTTGAGACTGTTACAATATGAAAGTCAGGAAGGTTCAGAAAGAACAACTAGAAGAAGCATGTGTAGATATGTGGAGAGCAGGGGTTGGCAAAATGAGCCCATGAGGTCCTACTTGTCTGGCTGTAGCCCTCCTAGTATACTACTACTACTACCCTACCTGGAACGACATCGACATCGGTAACTTCTGAATATCATTTTTTGTGGCTATACAAGACCATTGTTGAAATTCCGGCAGGTACTTACTGGTTCCATGGTGATGTAGAACTGGTGCTTTTCCCTATCGGGCCGCATGCCCTTCATGGCGGCCCTGTATGAGGGATCGGCCGCGTAGAAGTGGGGGAAGGACAGGAAGCTGGGCGAGCCGTCCCTGCACGTCGACACGTTGAACACCCCGGAAGGGATGCAGCCGCCCTGTGAGCAGAAGCACGAGTTTTCTGGACGGGTGGTACCTGAAAATTACACGAGGTGTTGAGTCAGGAATGCGGTGTAGAGAATTTTGTCAATGTTCTCGGAGACAGTATATTGCCAGTTCGTTAAATTTTTCTCTTCCCATTCATTCAAATAACCTGAATTTTCAATTTTTTTTTCAATTATCTCAGTACTCTCAAGTTTTCTTCACTTCAATTTCTTCAGTTTCTTCGATAACTTAAATTTTTATAATTATTCGAATTTGTTGAAAATCATTGGAAAAATAAAATTGGTTAGTACTCTGGAAGCATAGCTTAATTATAAGATGTGTACAATAGCTGAGATATGATTCACAAACAGCGCGTTGCGGACCCATATTAATGGACAGAATGAACGAATTCCACCCTCCATTTTTCGACATATGTTCTTAAACACCTTCTATATACAATTCCACTTGCTCTTCCATTTTTCCGTGTTTATCAAAGTTTTGCTCGTTTGTCGAGTTTTCTCATATATTTTCAATTTTTCAAATTATTTCAATGTTCCCAATTCTCCTATATTTACTCATTCTCTCAACATCCTCAACTGATTTTACTCATTTCAATCAAACTCCCGAATTTCCTAAGTTTCCCGAATTCCTCGCTACTCTCAGATTTCCAAAATTTCTTGATTTCTTCGAATTCCTCATTTAAAAGTTCTTCCTATACCTAATTAGGATTCACGGTGTTTACGATTATGATAGAGATACCCTTTCGTGCAATCCAAAAGTCTTTCTAAAATATCACATTTAACAAATTCCCAGATTCATAGAATTTTTCAAATTCATCAATCACCCCAAATTTTCAAGGTGTTCCCGAAACCTACAATTCCCCAGATTCTTCGAATTCTCAAAATATTGTCCATTGCATCAAAAAATAATTTCAATTAAGTATCAACATTAGAAAATCGTTAAAAGTATTGTATCGTCTCCCATTTGATACACCAACCAATCAATTGTATGAAGTAACAAATGCGTATTCTTTAGATGAAATATATAAAATTGAAACTCTTTAACTATCATATAATATCATAAATAAGAAATTGAAATCAAATATTATTTTGATACGGAATTCTGAAATTTATAGTCATGAAACTAGACAATATAACTTGTTTCATCCTGACGCCGCTAGCTCCTTAATCGGATGAAAAATCGCAGAAATATAGGTACATTCAAAAATGAAGTAAAAAAACTGATTATTTCTGAGCGAACTGGATAAAATTGATCATGCCATTTTTTTTACAAATATTATTCTTTGTATGTCAATTTACAGTTGTTGATATATTTTGAATGATGATATGTTTACCTAAAGGTATATAATTATGTACTTCATTATACCAGAGCCTATTATGTCTGGAAATTATTTGTTCAATAAATAAATATATCGAAGACTGGAACCTTTGGCACGATAATACACTACACTGTTTTACCACTAACCAAACCGATTTTTTAACGCCTCGACACATGTTTCGCTAACTATGTTAGCATCTTCAGGGGAAGATTGAAACTTTTAATCTTTCATCAAAAAAATACAGATTAAAATTAAACTGGGTGAAGACTGATCCCCCGTGGCATAGGCATAATTTCTCTTTGTTTCACTATTTGCATGTGATTTATTCATTGATTTTATTTTCCAGATTTGTTAATTCATGAATCTATATAGACTCAAATAATCCCACTCCGGCCCCCAGGTATTCTCCACCGAGTAGAAGCAATGGGATAACAGAAATTTACGAATTTTTTTCTTGAAAAGATGAATAGGTGTATCTTTGATATTGGCAGGGAGAATATTATACAATTTTATATCTATAGAGTTACGTTCAGATGTGTTTAAGCGATGTCTAATCGGTCGAATCAACTTACAGTTTCTTGTAGTGTAATTATGAAAATCCTCATTTCTTTGATAATTATATTTATTTTTATATGGATGTCTAACAAAAAATTGAGGATGTAGATATACACGGTAAAGGAAGTATTTCATAATTTACGAATATTGGACGATCTCTATAATTCGCTTTCGCAATTATTCTCAAGGCTCTTCTTTGGAGGTTTCCCCAGATAGTTATACCATAGTTAATATGGGAATGAAATAGTCCAAAATATGCAGTTTTCAATACTGTTATGTTAGCAAATCTACTCAACTTTCTCAATAGGTAAATATTGGAGCTAAATTTTTTACTCAAATGCTCATGATATTCAATTCAATAAAGAACGATTATTATTATTATTGCTCAATATGAGCTGACCACTTCAATTTATCATCCATGACAATACCAAGTAGTCTAATTTCAGAACCTTTGGCAATAGCGTTATCAGTAGAGAATACAATATTATGGGTTCTATTGTTATTTAGTTTCAGACAGTTGGGAATGAACCATGTTTCAGCTCCTGATTGGAAAACTTTGGAAATATTGTCCCAATCATCAATTCTCTCATCAAATACATAGATAGTATAGTCATCTGCATAACAAATACATCTAGTTGGACTCATATAATGAAAAATATCATTGACATAGATGATGAATAGAAGTGGCCCAAGGATAATTCACTACACACTGTTTTACCACAACCCAAACCGATTCTTTACACCTCGACACGTGTTTCGCTAACTATGTTAGCATCTGTTTTAATAGTTTTAATTTTCTACTGCTAACACAGTTAGCGAGTCAAAGTGTATGAAACATCGGTTTGGTTAGTGGTAAAACAGTGTGTAGTGTGTCCCCAATTTCACTTATCTTCCCAAGTATCCTGATTTTCCTAATTTTCTCAATTTTTCTGATTTTGATAATTTTCCTAGTTTTCCTAATTTTCCTAAATTCCCCCATTTTCCTAATTTTTCAATTTTTCCAATTTTTCCAATATTCGAAATTTTTCCAATATTCCCAATTTACCCCAAATTTCCAATAGGTACAGGTACCAACCGTTATCGAAAATATTATCGGCAAGGTAGTTGTACCCGCGCACCCCCTTGACCTCCACCTCCTGGTCGTACTCGAGCTCCGCGTACTTGCACAGCTGCGACGAGTACAGCACCAGCTTGTCCTTGGGCCGGTCGAAAGGGTAGAACTCCCCCGCCGAGCCCCTGATCTCGTTGCAGCGACCTTCGTAGAAATCCGTCCTGTTGCGGCCGTTCCACGTCACTATTTTGCCGAAATTCTCGTCGGTCTTGTAGGACATGCTGAATGAGCCCTCTTGACCCACTGTACCATTTCTCTTAAATGAAAAAAAATAGATCAACATTATTTTTCGAGAACAATGGGACAAGAAGAAAATCATACAGTCAACTGTTCTGGGAGTACAGGTGTCTATTTGAATTCTCGTTGTTGGAATGACATTGTAATGAACGGGTATCTTACAAAATTATGTGGATTTATGAATTCTTTTGAACTAAGTACAGTGAACAATAATTGTCTTAAATAAGAATAACTTTTATCATGCGTCAACTAGGCAATATTATTACGTGAACGGAACAATGTTTATTTTGAATTGAGTGCAGCATCATTAGCATAAATAAATGTATAGAATAAGTAGGTACGTTACCTTTGTAAAACGAATTCACTGGTCACTTGAGGACGAAGCAGGTTGATATCACAGGACCGAATTGAGAGATAAAAATGACGTTGATTAGAATTTTTAGAGAATTTATAAGTTCAGTAAAGAGGGACTGACTTTCGTCTGATTGGCTCGAAAGATCAATAAATTATTATTTAGCCCAAATACGTAAAGAGCATGTAATTGTCAATTCTGTTAATATTCCTGAAGTGAATTATTATCATAACATTAGAGAGTTACATCGAAATCATCTCACTTGTGCAAATTGAAGTCAAGAAAAATTAATGAGAATCATAAACCACATTGAATTATTGCTTGAAAAAGGGTTAATGGAAAACTATAGTAAGTGACAGTTTTATTAACATCAAGAGTATGAGTTGAAGCTTTAAATTATTTATCGTCATAACAATTCAGAACTACAACAAATAAATCTTTTTAGTTTCGCAAATTAATGTTGAACATCTGTAATTTATCGCTCGAAAATCTACGAAAAATCTTGCCTAATATAAACACAACATGGAGCTTGTCTTATATTATTTAATTGATTCTCCCAAAACTCATTGCTTAATCCTGTATAAAAGCAGGAACAATCCGAATAAAATAAGACAGTCTGAAGTTATTCTTGAAGCAGTCTTGATCAGTCTCCAATACGATGTCTCGATCTCCGTTGTGTTAGTTGAGAGTTTTGTTAGTGAGCCTCGGGAGTGATTGAATTTCAATCATCGAATCTATTGAGCAGAATGTAAAATGTTGAGTCTTTAACGTGATTCAATACAAAACGTATCCAGCCGACTTTGTATCTGTCTATTAATGCTACGTTCGAACAGTACCAGTGAACTTCGTTAATAATACCTGTGTAAGTAACCACTCAGGTAGATTTATGGTAAACTGCAACTTTTGTGACTAAGACGTAAAAGTGAAGTGAATCTCTCGCCAATTAAAAAACAAGTGAACAGTGTAAAAAAAAAGTGCAATCTAAAATGTAGGCAAATTTTGATTTTGTTGCCTGTAACCTCTGCCTGAATATATGTCTCAGTAACTATCTATATGTTGTCTTATTGTCTACAATCTCAGTCTGCCTCCTGCCTCAATAATCAACGAACCCATTGATCGAGGAAAAATTACTTTGTAACGACCCCCTGTAGTAGGCCAACGAACGAAGAAAGTTGGGGGCATTACAACATATTTTTTTTTTGTCATCCCTCAGGTGATCGCACTAATTACTTTTTTACCATAATTATAGTGAGTTACCCAGTATAGAGGACTGTGATTATTTTTCCGTAATGTGAAATTCTCAACATGTTTCATTGTATTCTTCTTTATTCTGAGGCTGAGCGCCATCTAATAATGATGATTGGAATCAAAATTTGTACCCCTGAATAGGCCTGAATTCAGACACAATTTATGTAGGTTGTCACCAATTATCGACGCCATATTGTTGATTTTGGGTTTTTTCCCATTTTCTTTGGAACGGTGTGATTTTGAAAGCCAGAATTTGGGCAGGGCATGGCATTTTAGTGTTTCTAGGAGTTGAATCAATTTTCATTAAAATCTGTGACACGAAGTTTCCCAATGTTTACATTTTTCAGTCATCGCCTGCTTTCTTCAATAAACGAGTTCGATTTCGGAAATTACTTTAACTCATAGCTTGAGCTTTCGTCCTTACGATCATCCAAACCATTTTTCATTTGGACTTTTCGTTTGGCAGAAAACGGGGCTGGAAAATAGGTCTGCATAGCGATTGTCGTGAATCGTCGGTCTTAAAATGGGGTACTTCGCTCCAAGCTGCCACCAAAAAACCTTGAATAAAAAAAATAGGTATCCAACTTCGACACTCTGTATCTCAGAAACAAATAACTTTCGGACATATGTTTATGCGAACTTTTCTTCTTATGTTGACGTCAGAAACATGCCCCTGAATTTTCTACACTTACTTAAAAAACACCCTGTACCTATATGATTGAAAAAAGCAGTTTATCTTTTGGTGTATCGGGTACTCAGACATATTATTATCATCAAGCTTGAAAAGTAACACGGTACATAGAAGTATACGCTGGATACTGCATGGTGACCTAGTCAGGCTATCGCCATCTAGTGGCGTTGGTTCTGAGGTAGGACCTTGTGGCCACGTCATACAGAGCATGACGCTGATTTGATGACAGATGGCACTACCTGAATACTTGCGCAATACTTGAGTGGTAACCCACCAGGACTACTACATAGAAGTTTGTTGAAAATGGTGAAAAATCACTGAAATAATAAAATTCAATACTGAAATCACTACCAACTACTTAAAGGCAACTACAAGTCTCTATCACAATAGTTTGTAGAGAAAAGCTTATTATCATTAGGATAGTTCATGCAAATATGTAAAATTTCTCATTAATTTGAACACTTAGGAAATATCGAATGTTCTAGGAACAACTCTTAAATGAAGTGATATGATTCATTTATGAATGGTCAATGGTCAAGTACTTACACCATAGAAGATTCCGAATTTATCCTGGACCCTCAACATTGGCATTTTGGAAAGGGTGCTGAGGATCGGCTCTTCAAATCCCTCGAAGAGTAATTCTCCCACAGTCTTGGTCACATAAAGCTTAGAAATACTGGACAGTCCCATTGAAATTGCTTTTTGGGCCCAGTAACTGAAATCTCTCGCTTTGTAAGCAACAGTCTGAAAGTAAATCACATAGAATTATAGAAATGGAGACAACAGAATAGTCTGAGAGCATAATATGTCTATCCATATGTTGCAGATTGACTATGATAACTATAGAAACATGGACTGAAAATCATAAACTTCAGCAAACACTATACTATGCATATGCATAGGTGTACTCAGAAAATCATGTAGTTTGTTCAAAGCCACATAGTAGTAGACGTTCAGAGTATACTATTCTAAGATTGCTTCCTAAGTTTGTATCCACAGTTATATCGAATTGTTGTACTTTATCACAGCAAACTTCTATCAAACTCAGTGATAAGAAGAGAGACGGTTAGGTCAGGTTAGGTTCACAGTGAGTGAGGGTATGTTTTGTGGCTCACACCAATTCATGTTTCATCAAGTAGATCCAGCTTCTTAATGATCTTGCAGTTCCGAGAGCGAAAGTTAAACCCTGCCAAACACCAAAAACCTGTATCATCATCTTCTAGACTCTGAAAAAGTGATGATTCAGAAGACGATGACTTGTAAGTACACTTCTTAAGAGAGCGCCGCAAACCCCTGCTGTAGTTTAGCATTTGTTTGAAGACATTCTTCGAAGGATGTATGTATGATTTGAAATGAACCATCCTGTTAGATCCTGCCAGAAGTCTTCTTGATGTTCAAGTAGTCAGTGTATGTTTGGCAAAACATGATGGGATGCCATGGCAGCTTCTGGTCCGATGAAATCTCTAGCGGCACCCTCCCTTGCAAGGGAATCAGCTATTTCCTTTCCTTCCATACCGGAATAGCTAGGAATCCAGAGCAGAAATAATTTGTTGAGTCTTCCTATTGTGGAGAGTCTTTTTTTGGCAGTTCAATATACCAATATAGACGTTGATCGTTACGAGCTAAGTGCTTCCAGAGCCACTTGGCTGTCCAAGAATATTTTAATAGTTTTATGAGTCAGAGTGATTTTCTCCAATCTTCCACACATAAATCGAAGGCATAAATTCCCTCCTGAAATACGGTTGCATAGGATCCTAGTATGGATGATATCATTTGGTGTCCGAGTGGAGAAAGGCCTTGGACAACCTGGCAAAATAAAAAAAACAGCCTCAGGACACTTGAACTAGTCAAAATCGGTTCAAGATGAACCCCGGCCGGACCGAAACCAATCTTGGGATTACCAAACAGTCTGGCAGTGTCCTCCATAGAGGGACAGCTGCAAGAGCAATTCCAAATATGACAGGACACACCAGGAATGAGAAAATCGAAGCTCCACATAAAGGAACCTTCAAAGAGGCTCACAAAAGAGGTTTTATCCCCCAATAGGCGAGACCTTGAAATTGTAGTGGGGCTCCTAACGGGGCACAACCACCCCAATAGGCACCTAGAGCTTATTGGGATCAAAGATGATCCTCTTTGCAGATGGTGCCTGGAAGAAACGTCATCGCATGTCCTCACTGAGTGCCCAGCACTGAAGGAGGGCTGTCCTTATGGCAACATAATTTTGAGGCTAAAGGATGTGAAAGAGATTCAGCTGAGGAAGCTGCTGAACTTCTCCAAGGAAGTCGGCATCCCCAGCTGAATGTCGGAACATGTGGGCGCACAATGGGCCCGAATAAGGAGGCCTACGTGCAGGGGTGTTCACCCGCCCACTAGTGCTTCGAAGAAGAAGGAAGAAGAAGATGGACGATATCTCTGTCTTAGGTCTGCGACCGTATATAGACCCGCACAAGAGCCTGAGAATGTTTGTGAACCTTCTGTGAACCAATATAGTTATCTATCTGCTCACAGTAGTTTCTCCTTTCGTGAAGAGAGAACGTAATCCACCACACAGATTAACAAACCTTAGATTTGCTGCGCTCCCGTGCAGATGAACAGACTTTTAGGTGAACGGAATTCATTCAAATGTTGACTCCAACTCTGTGGTTCTGACTTACCAAGGGTACTGCATTGATGGTGGTTATCACATCACTCAAGTTCCTAACACTATTCTCGTAATCGAAATAATACGTGTGATTGGTGAGAAAACTGACGGTATGGTTGTGTTCGTGCCACCTAATGTACACTTTCTCCTTGATCTCCTTGAACCTATAAGGCCCGATCTCCTCGAACTCCGGCTTAACGGAGGAGTTGTACACCTGGTCGGCGTTGGTCCAGTTGAACATGAATATCTCCATGATCAAAGGAGGGTCGTTGGTTCGCCACGCCTTGAACGTGGGGGAGTCGGGGGTGAATTTCAACGCCTCGGACAGGATTCCGGTGTAGATGGACTCGAAGCAGATGAAGATCGTCACTCCTGTGGCTATGAGGAAGATGCCGGTCACCAGAAGGCATCCTTGCCCGCACTGGCGGCAACGTCTTTTCATTTTGGCGGAACTGGAAACAACAAATCAATAAGGAAGATTTTATTCTCGAAATAGCCAAAATGCTCAAAAAATGAACAGCATTGACGGGAGGAAAACAAATACGTTCCTGGCCTAGTTAATGCTTCGCTAAATATTGAATCACGTCCTCCCGAAACCTATCGATGTATGCCGACTCCTTTGGACTTGATTTTGACCCACTTCGAACGGAAAAACATAATGGCGGCTCCAAAATGGCGGACGAGTTGTGTAATTATAATCCGATTCTATTCGAAATTGGTATCTGGGGGTTCACATGATAATTTTATCAAAATTGGTGAATTCGAGATGGCGGATCCAATATGACGAACGAATTCTGTAATTATATGATCCGATTGTATTCAAAATTTCGACAAAATTTGTATCATCAACATCGGTTACTTACAAAAAATATTAAAATAGTGGAAAACACGCTTTTGTAGTTAACCGAACTGAGAAAAAGAAATCAAAAATTAGTTTCAAAAACTAAAGAAACCGCTTTTAAAGATAGCCAAACTAAAAAGAAGTAGAGAATACAATAATAAAAGTTTGTTGATGAATACAAAACATAGAATTTACTGATTACTGATTGTCTGACTGGCGTTGTTTCAACTATGAAATAGTCAAAATGCTCATAGTGAAATGGAATGTTAATGAGAGGCAAGAAGCAACAACTCAAAGTCATGGTAAATAACGGGGGAAAATGGCTAATTTCGACCGTTTGGTAGAGATGAGACTCCATTTGTGATTTTGAGTCTTCAAAGCCATTCAGATTTTTCTTTTGATAATGCAATTCAACACATTAGTTTGGTAATTGGGAATGAAAAAAAAAACGGACCTAAGAAATCATTGTTTTTTCTTTTTCAAAATGATATTTCATGAATATCTGATGGATCACATTCTTGCTTGCGAATGTTCAATCCTTATAACTCGAAAACCTTTGGATTTGGAAATAGATAACCAAATATAAGTTGAAGAGGAATCAATCGATCAATTGTGTGTTCACTCTTCAGTTATCTAAGAGAAAATGACTAGTGGCATCCAAAAACCTAGAAATAGCAAGATATTCGTAACCACACTATTAATTTTAAATAAATGCCTAATATCACTTCCAAGATTATCATGATTATACTAGCTCTCATGATAATATCGAATTCTGAAGCGTTTCTGAAGATACTTGTGCACATTTAAAATTTTCCACGAAAAATTCCAAATCCAAAGTATACGACTTCTGCAAAATTCTTCGTAGATTTCGAAAATGTGATATAATAAAAGGAATGTTCCATTTAAAATGAGGGCGTTTTTGTCCACTTGTTTTCAGAATTTTATTGATCACTGATTCTTTGTATTAATTATCACAGAAACTATGTGTAAGTGTGCAACTAAATTATTGTTATCTTACTTTGATTGAATATCATGTATATGAACACCTGATCCTAAACACTCGACATTTTTAATGCGAATATATCAGTAATCGTTTCATATTTATTCAGCATCATTATCAATCATTATTGTTATACTTTAATACTTTTATCGTAAAAAGCGTTGAACGAATGTAAAGATTCCTGAATGATTGTCATGTCAAAGTATGGGATTTCTTGTTCGGTTTGCAATAAATTGTTTCTGCATGATAATCTGATTTTTAATGAGTGTTAATTAAAAACATCGTGCATATTATCAAAATTATAGCTACTAGGATTTGTTGGGAATATTGTTATTGTTATTATATATTCTATATCTCTATTATATCTCTATTTAATAAGAATAGTAAGTTCCGAAAGTGATATTTTACGGGATGCGTAAAGTGAATCATGGAATCCGGATACAGAGTTACACAAAAGCGATTCCGATGAAAATATCCGCTTTAGCAGAAATAATGACCAATTTCACATGGGTTCGATCGACTATCTACAAAATTCAGTAGGATAATTGACTTCGCCAGTCACCTCGAACTATACGTCAAACAATAATATGGTCATAAATCAACGACGAAATTCACGAAATATACACGTTCAATATATTCATTAGTAGAAAATCTCTGATTCAAGTTGAAATTTCCCAAGTAATATCGAGCAAAAAGCACAAAATGCACTATTCCCTTCGTTCGTCCTTATTTCCATTTCGTACCTGGTGATGAAATGAACATTTCATCACCAGTTGTGTAATATTTTGGAATGCTCATTTCACAAAATTTGTCATGAAATGATCGATACAAATGAATAGTGAATCAAAATTTTGGATACATTCAAGTGTTGAGTATTACTACTTATTCCTGATATAACCACGGAATACAAATCAAAGTTCAACAGTTTCACAAAAGCTAATTGTAACTGAAATTCGAATGGCGATGTCTTCATGTTGATTTGATCCAAGACCCTTACCACAAAACTACTAGTCACAAGACAATTTTTATTAAGTATCATATTCCGCACGAAAGGAAATTCCTTTGATGTTCGTGGAAGATTATGCGTACCTTCAGGAAGGATAGGGTGGGGAGGTAGGTGTTGAAATTTTTTTAACTAGAGGTTATATCAAGTTCTTGGGAAGATTTCCATTGGCAAAGATTTCCGAAGGTTCTTATTCTCATTCTTCCTAAATACTGTCTGTAGGTTAATCGAGGAGGTGGTATATTCATTATTCCAAATTTTTTGGGATTTTCTCTCCTCGTTTCTATAAAATAAAAATATGAATATCATTTCAATATACGTGTAGTAAGGACAAATCAGATGATTTGCCCCAAAATGTCACTGCGTTTAAAGAATTTTCCTATCAGAGAGCCTAAAAGAAAAATTCACTAGCTTGTCAGTGACAATTTGCATTGAAAAATTTTTGGAGAAGGGAAATAAAGGTATATAGAAAAAATATCAAATTTTCACTTATCTTTGGACGTTTCGGGACCGATTCTGCTCCCGTTTTCAACATGAAGAGATTTTTTCAATTGCGAAGTCGTATAATATGTCTTGAAGCTCTTCAAACTGAAAAAATCTCTTCATGTTGAAAACGGGAGCAGAATCGGTCCCGAAACGTCCAAAGATAAGTGAAAATTTGATATTTTTTCTATATACCTTTATTTCTCTTCTCCAAAAATTTTTCAAAACAAATTGTCACTGACAAGCTAGTGAATTTTTCTTTTAGGCTCTCTGATAGGAAAATTCTTTAAACGCAGTGACATTTTGGGGCAAATCATCTGATTTGTCCTTACTACACGTATATTGAAATAATATTCATATTTTCATTTTATAGAAACGAGGAGAGAAAATCCCAAAAAATTTGGAATAATGCTTATTCTTCCTATTCCTACAAGGTTCAAGTATCGTGGTGAATGATGAAATATGGAATATCATTCGTCTTGTTTGATTCCTAGTCACTTCTAGGTTACTTAAATTACTGAACAACCACTGAGTTCGCAATTTTTTGGAATCGAATCATCGATGATATTTGATTGATTCAAAAGAATGAAAAATATACCTGCAATGCAGGATATATATTCTGTTGAATACTTCAAATCTCATGTCGATAATTTTCTGATTTCAATATAATGTGATATCTTCTCAATATTGATTCGTCCTATTTCCTGACACAGAGAAAATAGTGTATTCATTATACACGGAAAAATATTTGATTTCAGCTCACGGTATTTTGTCTCCCTCCGCTAACATAACTTAGAGCTAAAATCTACTATTTTTTCCCTTGTATGATAAATAACTATTTCTGTAGCCATTTTTAGGATTCAAAAAGTGAAAAAACACAAACCATTGTTATACATGAGCACTATCGTAATGAAATACAAAATTAATATTATTGTCAAAGCCGCCATCATAATATATACCCATAATCGTCCGAAAAGTTACAAGAATCGTCCCGAAAGTAAAGAAATCGTTCCGGAAGTGAAAGAATTCGTTCAGAAAATAGCTATTTTTGGTACCATTTGTGTAAAGTGGTACCTGCTTCTGATTTAATAAATCATACCAAAAAATTGATATTTGAATGGCTGCAGTAAAAAAATGGTATTGTTGTAATATTTTATAAAGTGTTTTCAGTATAAATTTGGAATGTCTCACCGTTTCCATATATAAATATATTATATATAATGAATCAGCTACCGTTATTCGAACCATCACTAGACATTTTGGATACTAACATCATCTGAGGTGATAACAAATGTAAGTATCACGTAAACCACAACTGAAGATTCGATAAGATAAGAATAAACCTGCACCTGCCGTATGAACATAACCTATAAACTGTATTAACTGGATGTTTTCAGATTCTCATTTTAATCTCAGCAGCCTTTGCATAGTTGAAGTTGTGTCAAGGGCGAAAGTCAAAACATTTTGTTTCGAATAATTTTTTCAATTTTATACTTGAATATTCTTGCATGAATTTATTGATGATATCTACCATTTTGTTTCTAGGCCTGGTCTATTGGTCTATACAATATTTTTGAACCGTGCGAGTAGTACACTATACCTTTTTCCCACTTCTTCACGGAATCTCTTCTAACAAAAACATGCGTTGAAGTGAACAGATCCGGGTGAGTGAAATTTGTTGATGAACATTTGTGATAAGTGAAAGTAATCTTGAGCTGATTCATGCAAAATTTCAATTTTGTAACATATTGAGTGATGTCCAGAGGGGAATGCTCCATACGGGATGAGTTTAAAGAATCTTCAGGTAACCGCATTGTTGTCTCGATTGTTGTACCATATATATACCAGCTCTGCTGGGGTACACATTGTCGGCTCTTTCAAAGTAGATAGGATACCTAGAAGGATTAAAGGAAGTGCATCAACCCAATTGATTGAATTCCTAGTTGCCATGATCGAAGCTTTTAACTGCCTATATGAAAACGTTCTATCATTCCGTTACTGATAGGATGATAGGATGTCGTTCTAATTTGACGTGTTCCCAAAGTATTCATCAGATTTTTCCACAAAAATTACACAAACTGAGCTTCTGGGTCAGTTGTTATTAGAAGAGGGTACTTCGAATCTA